CCAGTTCACGTCAAGTCCCTACCCCGGATCGTTTTAACAGCTCTCGGCCCAACTCTAACGAAAACCAAACCAAAGTAAGCTTTTTTCTTCATTACTAGAACTCATTATACACCAATATGCCTACGTACGGTATCCACCTGATGATTCACTCAACAGCTCAACAAACACTCACACAACACTTCGCGGTACGTTCCTGCTTGTTGTGGTAACTCACGCCAACGCTGAGTCGCCAGGGCGCACTTGCCCCGAATGTCAGTTCACTTCCTCCGTCGGATTAGTGGCTGTCGTTTTGCTTGTATCCACCGCGACTTGCCTTTACCAACGCCTGCTGTTTGCTTGTTCAAATTGCTTGAGCTGTTTTACTTGCCTTGTTTGCCCTCCTCGACCAGAAAAAACTGGCAGCTGGGGTATTTTATTATAACACAACTCGCATTTCACTGCTTGCGTGGTTTTCCGCAGTGCATATCTGGTAGTGTGCACGAGGGTTCAAATCTCGCGTGATGGACGGGTATGCCCTGCTGAGCGCACTCGCCTTGTTGCGCTGCGCTATGGTGCTTTTGTATACTCGCCACTCTCCAGTAGCATCGCTCATCGTCGGTGGTTCTGAGTCTGGCCTTTAAATTCAGGAAATCAAAGAGGATCACTACTGTTTGTTTCTGCTGGTGTTGGACTCGCCTAGGTTGACTCATTTACCTAGTGGCGCCATAAACTGCGGGTAAAACTGGCTTTTTGTCTGTCAAAAACATCATACGTGGGATTGTCTGAAGATACGCTGCAAGGAAAATTCCCGAAAGTATCAAGTGTGGGTGTTTGAACAAACAGCGCTCTCAGCGGAAGGCCATGCAGCCCCGGCTTGTCACGTATTCTGAGCTGAGCCGGAGCTGCGCGTTCGTATGTTATATCCCATCGTGTTTCTGTGGGACTGAGCGAGGTTCTCGGCAGTTTTTGAAACTGCAGAGATAGTGCAGAATAGGACCAGAAGACTTCTGAGACGTGGCAAGTAAACTGCCCGTTTAGCCGGATATTTATTGTGGCCATTTAATCATGTGCATGTGCGGGGATTTTTGCGATCCAAACGGCTGCTCAGAACCGTAATGCGAAGTGATTGTGAAGGAGACTGCAAAATGAGGCACATACGCACGGGCGCACAGTGCGACACGATAGAGCAACCACGTATCCGTCTCCTAGGTACAGGCCCTTACTTTTCACCAGATTAAGCAACTGGATTCACTGACTCTGGCATAAGCTTCTCCTCCCCGAAATCCTACATAACTTTCTGCTGCTGTTCCCTCCCGGATGATAACTTCACAGTTAATGGAAATCCTATCAATCATTCGACGGAGATCAAAGATCTCGGCCTAGATACTCCTGTTCGTTCAGCCCTTCACAGCAGGTACAGTTCCATGTTGCCAGGATCCGCAGGCCCAGTTTTCAGTACCGGTCTCCTATCACCTTCCAAACAAAATTGCCAAAATATTTGAGCTAAACGTAAGGTCAACCGTAAACTTATTTCCCGCAGTTTTCTCTCTTCATACACGAAGTTATAGACTAGCAACTAGAAGCATACAACACTCATTCATTTGGTCAAGCAAAAGCTTGTCACCCCCATATGTTCCGTAACTGCTGAAACCTCTTGGTGTGTTATCCAGCTCGTGCAATCCTAAGCCACTACTTCTTCTCAGTTTACTACGCCCGCATCTGGAACAGCCTTCCTGAGCAGTTGCGGAACATCACGCATCATAATATTTTTTCTCAGTTCATGGGCGATTTCCTTGCCTGCGAAACTGCTGCTGCCTTGATTAATACCTAACCACCCCCGACCTCCTTTACGAATCAGATCCAGTGTGCATTTGAACTTAGCGACAATACAGCTAGTGGGCAATAGAAGATCACGTTGTCATATCTTCCTACCCTATTGACCTGCTTCAAGCCCCTGTAGGACTTAAACGCTCGCTTGATCCAAATAAGTTGTGTTACGGGCATGGTTGTTTTTGGTTTTTCTGAACCAAATTAAATCCAGTTCACGTCAAGTCCCTACCCCGGATCGTTTTAACAGCTCTCGGCCCAACTCTAACGAAAACCAAACCAAAGTAAGCTTTTTTCTTCATTACTAGAACTCATTATACACCAATATGCCTACGTACGGTATCCACCTGATGATTCACTCAACAGCTCAACAAACACTCACACAACACTTCGCGGTACGTTCCTGCTTGTTGTGGTAACTCACGCCAACGCTGAGTCGCCAGGGCGCACTTGCCCCGAATGTCAGTTCACTTCCTCCGTCGGATTAGTGGCTGTCGTTTTGCTTGTATCCACCGCGACTTGCCTTTACCAACGCCTGCTGTTTGCTTGTTCAAATTGCTTGAGCTGTTTTACTTGCCTTGTTTGCCCTCCTCGACCAGAAAAAACTGGCAGCTGGGGTATTTTATTATAACACAACTCGCATTTCACTGCTTGCGTGGTTTTCCGCAGTGCATATCTGGTAGTGTGCACGAGGGTTCAAATCTCGTGTGATGGACGGGTATGCCCTGCTGAGCGCACTCGCCTTGTTGCGCTGCGCTATGGTGCTTTTGTATACTCGCCACTCTCCAGTAGCATCGCTCATCGTCGGTGGTTCTGAGTCTGGCCTTTAAATTCAGGAAATCAAAGAGGATCACTACTGTTTGTTTCTGCTGGTGTTGGACTCGCCTAGGTTGACTCATTTACCTAGTGGCGCCATAAACTGCGGGTAAAACTGGCTTTTTGTCTGTCAAAAACATCATACGTGGGATTGTCTGAAGATACGCTGCAAGGAAAATTCCCGAAAGTATCAAGTGTGGGTGTTTGAACAAACAGCGCTCTCAGCGGAAGGCCATGCAGCCCCGGCTTGTCACGTATTCTGAGCTGAGCCGGAGCTGCGCGTTCGTATGTTATATCCCATCGTGTTTCTGTGGGACTGAGCGAGGTTCTCGGCAGTTTTTGAAACTGCAGAGATAGTGCAGAATAGGACCAGAAGACTTCTGAGACGTGGCAAGTAAACTGCCCGTTTAGCCGGATATTTATTGTGGCCATTTAATCATGTGCATGTGCGGGGATTTTTGCGATCCAAACGGCTGCTCAGAACCGTAATGCGAAGTGATTGTGAAGGAGACTGCAAAATGAGGCATATACGCACCGGCGCACAGTGCGACACGATAGAGCAACCACGTATCCCAAAACTGAAAGAATGGGGCTCGTATATGCGAGCTGGCTTACTTGAATTTTAGCGAGTCTGTTTCTAGAAACCTTTCCGTGCTCGCTTTTGTGCTCCTCGGTGTATGGTGAATTCTGACATTTGTCGTATGTGTCTTGCTGTTTCAGGTATTGGGGCGGTCTACCAAGTCATTTTTATTATCAGGGCGCTCCCTTTGTACACTGTAAAAAAGAAAGGGTCTCAACCAGGCTATTCTTGGTCCTTCAACGATCCCCTCAACCCACAACTAGAATAGTCTGGGAAACATATTGTGACGCATGTGGATTCTGGCACACAGAAAACCGTCTACGTACTGCCTACGAAGCAGGGATGAATACCTTTGATGAAGGTGTGATAGAGAGATTCCAGTGTCTCGGCAGGATTCCAAAAGTTCTGCACCAATATAACCTTGAAGGAATGGGCATTCATTCATTCATTGACTTCAGGTGCTCATTTGTGAGCTCATCGAGCTTTTTCTACAAAGAGAGCTTGGTTTTTGTGTTTATTAAGCTCTCGGCACTATCACCATAGATTACAGTGTGTACTTGTTTAAGATCCTTCGAGAACGGCCGCTCTATTTGGCATCACCCTCCACGAAGATATCGGTTATGTGGAAGGTTTATGGCGCAAATACAATGGAAAGGTTTGCCGTGTCTGCAAACTTCATCCATACCGATCATTGTGTTGCCGCTGTGAAGGGAACAACTGTAAATTTGTCTGGTCTGTTGTATCGAGGGTCATTGTGTGACGGAGGCTATAAGGGATAACGGCTTTCTTGTGTTCTACCAAATGACTGATCGACTGAGCGAAATTGATGTAGCGCTTGGCCTTCACAACAAGGGCAACGTCACGTTATTCACCCATCGGTGTGCCCTCTATTCAGATATTGACCTCCCTGGAACAAATAAGATGAGCTCCTCTGGGAAGTTTCAGAGGCTGGCCACCTCTACGAATCTGCTATTCATGTCTCAAGGTGTTTACAGCGCAGTCCAGACGAATTCGATTTTGTCCACGACTCACATACGGGCAATCTCGGTTCAACAAACAGCGTAGTTTCACGCATACCCGTGATACCAACTAAAGAGGCCAGTCCGTAAAACTCTCGCACAGTCGAATTGCCTGTGGGGTACGGGACAACTGCTTCACCTTCATCGTCTTGAAATAAAAGAATCGGGAACCGGACTGCGAAATTCACTTTCTCAAAATGTTTTTTCAACAAGGTACCCGGTCTAGGATTGAATTTCCTGCTCGCGGTATGAGCCCGAAGGTTTTCAACGTTGCCAATTCCATAATACCAATTGTCTCACCCTTCCCTCTCTCTAATTTACGGCTTTTGCTTGGCTAGTACATGGAATATATAATGACAAATTCCTTCAAGCAACCTGGCAATTGGTTAGGGGGTCCTCTTCTTTCACCATTCAGTGTTTGACTGTCAGGAGAGGGTTATAACAACCGTTTCTTTATTCTGAATATCAGCCCATATCGAGTACAATGTGAATACAAACCCTCAGTGTTGTTTTCCGCTGAACTAATTGGTCTGCACTAACCCGGTGCACATTGAAAGGTCATTTGACAGCACACGTTTAAGTGACAAATGAGGCGTCGCGGGAAGGGAGATGTCAAAGATAAGAAGGGTGGCAGTGCAACCGAAGGCAATGAATAGTGGGTTCACTAATGAGCAATTTCAATATTCTCACCTTTTTTAAAATAGCGTTTACCCAAAAGTTCGTTATTTCGGGCTGGTGAGCTTCTATTTTGATACTCCTGAAATTTCTCATGCTGTATTAGTTCAGATATTCGGATTGGCGCGAGAAAACATACTTAGTTATTGGACTTCTACTTGCCGTTGGGGTTGGCATTTCTGGACCTTCTAACATACTTGTTTTTCGGCAACTGGTTAACGTTTTCTCCCAACCGGACCCAAATCGACCGTTCTCCGCAAAAGATGTCAATCCTAATATAATATGGTTTGCAATCTTGGGGACTATAGTACTGGCTGCAGCATTTACGCAGACGGCGGTGATCGAGATTGCAGCGAAACGTCAACTCAGGCGAATTAGGCTACTATATTTCAGGGTAGGTTTCGTTCACTAAGTTTCATCACTGCTGTACTATGTTTCAATTTATTTCTACAATTGCTCGAGTAAAGTTTACGCTTCTTATCCACATAAGGGTATTACAGAAAAGCTTCTTATCCACGTGCCTCTTGATGCAATTAATTTATAGGTTCCCTAATAAAATCGTCTAAACTAGTGATATTTTGGTTGAACAAGTGTCTTTGTGCAATGTAAAATTGCTGCGCAAAGCCCCATCTTAATAAAGTAGTTGTAAAAACGTTCTGACAAGTAAGCAAACTAGATCCGTACAAACCCGGTTAATCCGTCCTTGTGCTGGGTAGCAGTTAATCCCTTGTTCACTTCTGAAGGTTGTTTTATTGCTGAAGGACAGTACATGTGAAAGTTGAGAACTAGTTATCTTCTTGCTAAGATCCGCACATACGCTTCAGTAAGCCGTCTTTTTACAGCCATCAATCTTCTGGAAAGTTTATTCGACAGGCTAGCCCGTAATGGCAGTATGATGGAGGGATGAAGCGAAGTTTCCCTTGCTCATAATACTGGTGTTGTTCGATTGGCTTATCAAACAGAGATAAACGCAGAAAAACGCTAGCTTCCACCTTTACGGCACTCACGTATTGTCTACCATGTTCACTATTACTATCGATATTACCATTATGGCCATCATAATTATCATACTCGTCAACATACTATATTACCGTCGTGGGCGGCAACGTACCGTTTTCGGAACCCATTGCCTAGCTGCCATAAAACCAGGCAAGGAGAGGGCTCTAAGCACTGAAAAACACCTCTTCTACCCTTCATTAAGCTCTTCTGTATGGTGTTCTTAGCTTCTAGAAATCAGTGTTCTCCAAATGATAATTGTGAGGCAAGAAATTCTCCATTGTTTCAGTATATCAGGGTATTTTGTGTTTTAAAAACGATGGTGGGTTCATAACCCTTTCTGTAAGCTTGTTTTGGCATCCTAAATTCGGTTCAAAAACTCTAAATCCGCCGGCTAACAAAGTTTCACCAGTAATCTACCGTGATTTTCCTATAAGGCTCGAAGTTCTGGAATAGATTGGGCAAAATATCAAATGAAATAGATAAGTCTGAAGCTTATGGATATCTTGTTTGCATTCTTACATCCATTTAAAAGCAGAAGACACAAAAACCACTGGATCTTCCTGCAGCCTGTTTTCCTTTACGGATGACCATTAGTGTGACATATGCCAGGGGAGCAAAAATGACCAAACAATCACTCGGCATTTTTTATGTCTGCGTGAAAGGCGATATACCAGCCATAGTATTCACCAATAAGCATCTGAAATGACTTTATACTTCCAACATCCACGAAGAAATTTACATGAACAAACATCAAAGCAGGAAATCTAACCACAGATTGATTATTTACTCGGACATATCTTGGAGAACACAGGTCCAAGAACTGTCCATACATGAAGCCCAGTGTAATCAGAATTGTTTATTCCTTTGCCTAGAATGTGTCCAGCGGTGATGCTAATTACCTAGGCTCTGTTTTTGTGTTGGTCTGTATGGACTTGACCGTAACTAAAAGCCTTAAGGTAGTGCTTCTTGGAATGATCTAGTAAAGCCATCGGAAAATGACATGGAAATGACTGACGATTTTTTCACGCTTAGTTATGATTTCCTCCCAAAAATGGTTTGCTTTTAAATCAAAGCCTTCATATTTGATATCAATTCTGCTTCATCACCTGAATTTCAACCCAGAGCACATTCCCGTGCAGTATTTTGTCAACCTCTTCAAAATTTCACCTAGGTAGGACTGATGAATATATAATGAGGAAGATTTTATCCATATTAAAAGCCGTATAAATATTCCGAGTTTACATTTGTTAGAAGTCTTCCAGAACAGTCAGTTAGTGGTCCAAGGACACACTCTGTGAGGTTCTTGAGTTGATGTTGGTGAACTTCACCTGATCCGAGCGAAATGTGGATGCCTATAATTGCTATTTCGCAAAGCATACTATAAAAATTAGGTATATTTGATGGTCTCCAAGTGAGGTTTTTCTCTGGCTTCAAAAATATAGCATTATTTTCAGGAACTTCAGGGCCATCAAAATGCCACCGCCAGTCATTTGATTGAATTTTAGGAAGCAGAAGGCTGAGTGCCCATATAAGCTGTTGGCTATGATGGGTTATACACCAAAGCATTGGCTGCATCCTGCATCACGGTTTAATAGGTTTCTTTTACATTTTTCAGTTGCTGGCTCTTTTTGATTCTACAGGAATCCCGACAACGCTGCAAAATATCATAAGAGCACGCTCATGGTAGGAGATCTTTCTAAATGCTTCTAGATTCAAAGAACTGACGATTTAGGGTCACTTGATTATCCAAATGGATCATTTGAAAAAGCCTGACAACTGATTACAAAATCCCTTGATACATCTTTTGACTTGCACCCTGGTTGTTAGCACGATGATCGACCGTCACAATCTAGGTTTCATCATACATAGAAATATTACGGGATTTGCAAATTTCCTCCTTGGAGCATGCTTTAAGATCTTCAAAGTATCCGGAAGATTCAAAAAAGAACTTCTGACCTTTTTGAAAGCCAACTTAGGGTTCGAAATCAAAGGATATTACAGTTGTGGGTTAACATCTTACTGAATAATACTCATTAAGCATAATCCAGCATAAGTTGTTCCAGAATGCCTGATGCTTACAACCGAATATACAGAATTTAAAGGATTCGGCTGGCAGTGCCAACCACAAGTGATCACTTGAGCAATGAGCACAGGACATTCTTTAGCTGTTCTGCTTGATTCTCTTAGATAACTGACGATCGTAGTTATAAGTCAGGTGCATCACTAAGTGTCCTACATGTGGATTAAATGAGAGATCATCAAAGAAATTTGCAGAAGTGTTGGTCAAAGCAACGACTCCTGAAGAAATCTTTATCTTATGTCAACTGACTCTTAATTGGTGCCCCCTAATTTGGCTCGTATCATCCCGCCAAGCTCAAGACCCTTTATCCCTTAATAAATGTTTGGAACTTGATTGCAAGGATAGCTGTGCTGTGATCAGCAAGAAGAACGTCTAACCAATATCCGACAATCTTTATTCGCATTCATTATTATGAAAAAGCAGGAAGTCGTTAAATAACAACCTTTACTACACAGAATATGAGATGCTGTTTGCTTTAAAAAGCGCTGCCAGAAAAGCATATGTGAACCTCCCTATCTCCTCCATCTCTTTGCTGGTGGATAAGTTTCATTCATTTCATTAAGTGTTTGATAAATGCAAATAATTGCTGGAGGGATGCTCAAACTGAATAAGTTTTAAGCTTAGTCTGTTTCGAGCTCCCGCACTACACCCTCTAGAGTTGATAAATGTAAGATGTCCTAGCCTCTTAGAAGTCGCAACAAATGTTGTCCGTGTCAGAAAACAAGGTATAAGGTGGGTATCACGGGCTACTGAATTATATAAAAAGAACGACCAAAAGTGCAGCAGAAGTAAACTTTGACTCAAAGCACTCTAAAAACGGCGAGCCCTCTTAAAACTAGGTTTCTAATATTACCCGTATTTTAGAAGTGCTGGAGGGCGGTCCACCCTCTTGATCACTGCGGCTTGCTTTGGTCTGTCGGCTTCTTGTCGCATCAGTACCCTCAGTCATTTTGCTTCAAACTCCCCCATCACTAGGGGGTTTGGGGTTTTTGTAACAAAATTCCAAGGAATAACAACTGACTTTGCGGAAACTATGCACGTTTTCTTGACATTCTGAATTAATCAGAAAAACTCACGTGCAAATATAAACAACTTCACACATTTCTGGCAGGTTTACCTGAGAAGCGCGCGCTCTAATATCTGGTCTTTGTTTTGGGTCCTGTAACATATTGTTTTTTGTTTAGATCGCACTCGGGTCTACTGGACCACCTGAGCCACTCAATTCAACCGAGGGAGTTGTCTCTATCATCAGCATGTTTCCACGGCCATCGGATGAACACGTATCTGGTGTAATTTCCAGTTTCGCTTTCTTTTTTGAGTTAAGTTAACCCATGGCAAAAATCAAGAAACCGCATCCAACGAACGCACGGAGAGATTTGAACTCGAGACCTCCAGGTTGTCACTTGGAGCCTTAACCTTGCTTAAGTTGTATCTACCCATAAAAGTGTCAGTGATTTTCAACGAGCATTCAAAGTTAGAAGGGGTTCGAACACCCACTTGCCGCTTCCTACAAATAATCACATTATTCTTCCGGAAAATAAAAAGGATATTAGGCGAATTCTCCATCTATTCAGATCCTCAAACTAAAAAGGACCTATACTTTGCTGCCATTTCACTCTAACGCCACCGCATAATTGTAGTACCTGCAGTTTTGCGTTCTACTTGATAACTTGACTGTGCGATACAAAAATAGTAGAAATGCTTTCTAGTTGATAGTTTGACGACAAACTCAGGAGCTGCTCAGGATAAAGTAACATGACGAAGTTGGTTGGTCATCGCGAATTTGTTCTGATGTTGTGACAAAACGGGTTCCAGGCACCGTTATAGTTACCAATGACCGTCGGCCTTCTAGATCGTCAAACGGGAGCTGTTGGTTCTCTGTGGAGATTAGTTGAACGGTTTCTTTGGATATAATAAACCATACCTGTGCAGAATATTGATCAGGTTTCTGGGCGAGTGAAACGTGCCTGAAAAGTCAAATAAACTGTTGATTGGTCAAGGTCCTTAGGTTTATATGCAAGAAAAATTCTATTAAAGTAGCATATGGACCGCTATGAAATAATTAAGGCGTTTCGCTTGGGCGTGTCCTTTAAGTAAGCCGTACCTAGCAGTCTGAAACTCACTACGCACGATGAAAAATGGCGGGCTGACAAAATACTTTATGGGGGTCTTATCAAGTTACATAGTTACAAGAGCTAAAACAGTAGCGTTTACCTCAATGTAATAAACGAATGCGGGGATAATATCGCGCCGGCTGTCACAAAAACCAGTTAAGGTGCACAATACCTCTGTTCTAGTCTTTTAAACCGTATGAATTGAGAAGACTCTACCGAGACCATGTCTGTTGAGCCATTTCCTCCCTTGCTCGCAAACAGTTGAGTGTTTCCCGAGGAATGAGATACTACTTCACAACATTACAGGTTATCCTTTTCCGTAATATCCGGGTCTAGGCGTACCGGCTAAATCTACAAAATGGTTATTCCTGTGAAACATAAAGGAGCCATTTAGGATTTTCCAAGTCCTTCTTTTAATTCATGTTTCATGTCCCTCAAAGCCCTTAAACACTTAGACGGTAACCATGAAACAAATCATGGTCGTTGTTCCTGTTGGAACAACACCAGTTAACAGTGGTGCTTCATAGTATACGTAATGAAATTTGAAGAACTATCTATTTATTATTCCCCTTAAGTTCAAAGTAGACTGTAATAAATAAAATGTATTGAATCCTGGTTACTCCGTTATTTGATTTATCGTTCGACAAATAGGATTTATTACGTTTTTATGCTCCCTGTTAACGGGACTGGCCCTGTTGTTTCGGAGACGACATTGGACTTGGTTTACATTTGGTGACTCTTCTTTAGTACATCACACAAAACCAATTGGTGCATCATGTGAAGTGTTTAGCGTCTCTTCAGATCTCTAAATTTGTTAACACCGTTTTGGTTCGCGTTTGCTCCGTACTGCCTTGTACGGAAGCGGTGAGTGGATAACGGACCGGGTTTCTCGACCTATATATGGGTTGTTCTGGGTTAGCTGTTCCCTTTTAATTATTCTGGTCAAGGATGAAATGGTTTTGCGGTAACATTTAGCTTTCCTCAAAGAATGGCTTCACTTGCAGGGAAAAAGCTGTGTCAAAACATCCAATATATATCGTAAATTACTACACCACTATTGCTATTGAAGTACAGATGAGCGAAAGCAAAACGGTAACTCAACTAATCAACCGGATTTGACCAGAGCAATTGCTAATGCTCGCCATAAAGTTGCTCAGCCCATACACTTCCGAATCTTACATCTAAAAGCTTTAAGTTTGCGTGTTGCTGGTCACGCGTTTCCTCAGCCTTCTTGTGCATATGGTCTTGACAGGTTAATCTATGTTAATGTATAGGTTATATAATCTGTGTATTTTTGGGCATGTTTTTGATGTTGCGGCATCACACAACGGAAAAAGTGATACATTGCGTGTTATTTTGGTAGTGGTATTTTGGCTGGCTGGCGAGTGGTTGACGTATGCGCTCCGGCCGTGCAGTGGTGTCAGTCACTCCAACCGTTTTTCATGACACAATCAAACATTTGGAATATTCTGTATGCTCTACTTTTCACAGACAATAATAATACCCTAGTGGATGAATAAATCGCCTCGAGCGCAGGTCAACTACGATATCCATCGGAAAGCAAAAGCACTGTGGCTTACATGCCTACCACGTTTACACTTAAGTTACGCTTTGTGTTTGTAAAACTAGCCTACTTATTCTTCACTGAACCTGTCAGATTCAAAGCTTAGTTGGCTTCAAATTTGACAGGTTCAGTGAAGAATGAGTAGGCTGTTTTTGCAAACACAGAGCTGTAAAAGTGTTTTCACATTGTAAATATTACAACAAGGGGGAAGACATTTTAAAAAAAAATCTTACGGGCTCCCTCATGCAGAAGCGACTACATATTCTATCGCCTATGCAGCAAAAGATCGCTGCCTATGTGCAATCAATGGTTGTGTTCAGCCCTTACGTAAACAGTTGCAAGGTAAAAATCCCCTGAGAATTCCGGAGACGGGCGTCTCCAAAAACCCTGAATCAAGTTTATAATACCGTTGGAATTCGAAACCTTGCAAGATGGCAGCGGTGTATCACTATTCACAAAAAACGTGGCCTATTTTGATCACTTATGGGGATAGCCATTAAACCAACTTTATTTCTCATTGTGATCAGGTCGATCGTAGGAAAAAACGGGTGAGTTATTTTTAAAAAAAAAATCAAGAAGCTTTCAAACAGTTACTTTTCTACATAGCTCCTCAAAGCTGCTTGGCATGGAATGTGAACACTGTCGATGACAAAACTTTTAACGCCCTATTTTTCCCGAAATTTGCTACGCTGCTTGAAGTAGTTTCAATCAGAATGTTTTTTCTGCAATAGCTTAGCTCTCCGTCCTGCGGCAACTGTTCTGGTTGATGCTCACTAACGAAGGAGCACTAAATTTGTGTTCTCTTTTCTTTGAACCAAGTTGGCCTGGCGCATTATCGGCCATGGCGATATTAAAGTACTGCAGCTACTCACCATGATTGATTGAAGTCGTCTTCACTCACTTTAGTGCATTTAGACGTATTATGTTGTCAGATTCATACATTTTGGAACCGCAACTGCAAATGAAAATGCCTGCCAGTTTAACTGTTAACTGAAGCGCTACTTAGCACCAGGATGACATACTTGTATTGCTGGTACCCAATCGCGTTGAATTTCCTCATGGCTTTCATCCAATTTTCAGGATTTCAAAACTCAACTGATGAGGTTTCATACCAGCGGTGGATGAGGAGCTCACGATGGGTCTTACGGTATTTGTATTTGGTAACACAATCATAGCTTCTGGGAGTGTGTTCCACTTCAATAACTGGGTGACTGCAAAGAAGTGCAATCCTCTCACGTAAACCGCCATCGCATACTGGCAGGTTTGTCGTAGGCATTTGTTTTGTTTGTTTGTTTGTTTGACCAAGAATAAAAAAATTAATTGATCTTTTCCGGAAGTCTTCATCTCAAAGAGAAGAAACGCGAAGTGATGCTCGGAGTTAAAGGATGTAGGTGAGAGAAACCACATTGCCTATAGCCGTGCACTTCTGCCTACCTGTTTCGGTCTCACTCAAGCTGTGTGAGCTTGGGTCTCAGGATTTTTCTCATTTAAGACAGTGGGTTTTTCTCTGAATGCAATTATTATTAGCCTTCAAAGTTGTCAGACCTGAAGAGATTTTACTTACTCAAGCGGTTAGCCTCAGGTTGGCTTGCTTTTGAGTGATCAGATCATCAAACTTCTATCGATGCACTTCAAATTGTACTTTTAGGGTAACAATCAGCAAGGATTTTTTATCCCCATTAACATTGAGTGTTTGAAATGTTAGCGCAGTACCGTGGGAAACCAAGTCAACGATCGATCCAACCATGGTCATTTTAAGTGTTTGAATAAGCATTAACAAACTATTGATCGGGAATCGTCCGATCCCATAAATTAGTAAAATCGAAGAACTAGTGCATCTTTATTGTTTGTGTTAACATCTAATGATTTCTATTCCAACAGTGCCTCTTAGATGTTCTCGAGATGTTGGCCAGTCTGTTATTAATTGTCTACTCATATACGACCACTAGAACACAGTTTGTTACTTCCATTCACTTTTTAGGCAATCCTGAGGCAAGATGTATCCTGGTTTGATGCACAGTCCACAGGTGCACTCATAAGCATGCTATCTCAGAATACTGAACAGATCGAAACAGGCATAGGACCCAAGCTGAGCGAATTCACGCAGAACATTTCTGGATTCGTTGCTGGTATCGTGATTGCCTTTTCAATAAACTGGAAGCAAACACTGGTGGCTTGTGCCTTGTTACCATTGGTTGTGGTGGCATTCTCCTTGTTCGGTGTTCTAATGAAATACTTTACGGTGAAAGAATTACAGGCCTATTCTAGTGCCGGTTCGATTGCGGGCGAGGTTTTGGCTGCGATTCGGACAGTGGTTGCATTTGGCGGTGAAGAAAAGGAACTGAACCGATACGCTACACACGAGTACAAAGCTGAATCTGTTGGGATAAAGAAAAGTACAGCAATGGGTGGCGGTGAGTTGATTTTCTGCCGAGAGTCCCTATCCTATCTAGATTGAGTTTTATCAGATTTTGTTGAATTATGTCGTTCCACATGCAGGAACTCCATCTGATGAGTGATGCCTTTTCGATATATTTCTAATCGTTCACGTCACGAAAAAACTCTCCTGCTTTGTATGAGACCTCTAATTAAGAGCCAATTCTGGAACAACAATGTTTGTTACCCAGTTTTTGCGTCATATGAATTTTGTGTTTTCTTTGTAATGTGCTACTCAAAAGGTTGCTGGAAATCCATCGACAGCCCACGACCGGTTTCGCTCTTCTTGGGGCTCATCAGGCAGGCACAGTTCCCGGGTTTCCGTCAACCGATCGTGCGCTGTCGATGGATTTTCAGCAACCTTATGAGTAGTACATTACAAAGATATACATGTATCGCGATATTTCAAACATCGTAGCGACTGAAACATGAGGCGGCCTGGTGCAGCATATTCAGTTGCCTGAGAACGTCATAAACGAGAGATTCAGCTGGGTTCCAGGTGAGTCTCTCGAAAGAACCAAATTAGTTTGCAAATGAGCGTATATACGCTAATTTTGTGTTTTGTTTAAACCATCCTGGAATCGAGCGGGATATACTTCATCTACCAGCAAAAATTCTCAGGTACATGCATGGCAACCAATGCACGACTAGTCAGCAATTTCGTCTTTTTGAGCTTGTCGTTCTAAACGAACTTACCTGAGTTCTAAGTATCTAAAAGAAGCCCAGAAAGCAGCACGAATTCTTGGCTAAAGCTACTACAACAAATTGTTCTTCCTTATGGAAAGTCCCATGAAAATTTGACACTTGAGAAAAGGTTGGCACTGTGCATCCTGAATAATAGGGGCAGAGTGATCCATGGAAAGTGTGTGCCCAGAAAACAGGCGATTTTTTGGCGTGATTTCCGGCTTACAGCATAGAGGATGTCAACAAATGACAAAATAAAGGCCTAATAACCGGCAGGGAAATAGCATTGTAAGGAATTGGATCACTCTGTAGGTTATTCACTAGTTCCTTCTCTGTGAGTGAGAGGATCGTAAATCACATTTGACGCGCTTTGTTCACAAATGAGTAGTGTAACATCCATTTATTATTGTTGAATGTTTCGGAAACGGAATATTGTACAGGAGTAATTTGTAGATGAGTCATTATCCCCATGTAAAATCAATTCGACTTTCAAATATGAGATAAGAATCACCAAACCACACATTTATCGATGAGCGTCAGGCGGTTTACGTCACGTGACAAAGATTGACTTGGTTTGTTACAGAGGAAATTCACCGCCGTTGAAGACTGACGCTAATTTTGTGTTTTGTTTAAACCATCCTGGAATCGAGCGGGATATACTTCATCTACCAGCAAAAATTCTCAGGTACATGCATGGCAACCAATGCACGACTAGTCAGCAATTTCGTCTTTTTGAGCTTGTCGTTCTAAACGAACTTACCTGAGTTCTAAGTATCTAAAAGAAGCCCAGAAAGCAGCACGAATTCTTGGCTAAAGCTACTACAACAAATTGTTCTTCCTTATGGAAAGTCCCATGAAAATTTGACACTTGAGAAAAGGTTGGCACTGTGCATCCTGAATAATAGGGGCAGAGTGATCCATGGAAAGTGTGTGCCCAGAAAACAGGCGATTTTTTGGCGTGATTTCCGGCTTACAGCATAGAGGATGTCAACAAATGACAAAATAAAGGCCTAATAACCGGCAGGGAAATAGCATTGTAAGGAATTGGATCACTCTGTAGGTTATTCACTAGTTCCTTCTCTGTGAGTGAGAGGATCGTAAATCACATTTGACGCGCTTTGTTCACAAATGAGTAGTGTAACATCCATTTATTATTGTTGAATGTTTCGGAAACGGAATATTGTACAGGAGTAATTTGTAGATGAGTCATTATCCCCATGTAAAATCAATTCGACTTTCAAATATGAGATAAGAATCACCAAACCACACATTTATCGATGAGCGTCAGGCGGTTTACGTCACGTGACAAAGATTGACTTGGTTTGTTACAGAGGAAATTCACCGCCGTTGAAGACTGGTGATAATGAGGATACAGTTCACACACTACTCTTTATATGACTAAGAGCAAATTATTGGTGTCAACGCCTATTCTTTCACTTGTGCTGTTGATGATATTCGTTTTATCAATACGAGTTGAAAATATGTAGCCAGATGCTGACATTTTTTTACCGTCTCCATTTACTAGACGTAATGCATGCTCACAAATAAAGGTGGAGATTGAGTTTCACGGAGAATCACGTGCGTCTGGGTGCGTGTATCACATTATCAGGACTGCGCAAACCAAATACATTATTTCAAGCTTTTTGTGCACACAGTAATGACTAATGAGGTTTGACAGGCAAAGCCTCAGTGGTGATCAGGAGTTTCAGCCTCTTGTTGCCTATCAAACAGTGAACAAATTATTCGATTCATTGGTCATCATGTTGCGGCTCGATCATGGCGGTAGATGACACAGGGTCGCGGTTTGACCTACGATGTCTTGGAGAAATTTTTCATATTGCGCAATATGCACCTAGGTTTGGCATCCAAGTTAGTCTCTTTGGCAGCAATTGAAAGGTTAGAGGAAAGCATATAAACTACTTCGTCACTCTTATAGAATAGGTGTCCCTGCAGCTTGAATAAAAACCAGTTTCTCAGCATTGTAAGCGTCTCATATGGTTCTGGATATTATTTCTCGTTTTTAAATTTGATATTTCATTAGCAAACTACACTCATTTGCCAACAAATTTGGTTTTGCGACAGACTCATCTGGAACCCAGCTGAATCTCTTGTTTGTGATGTTTCTACACTTTTATTGTCCTGTGCCAACAGAATGAATACCAATGAAGCGTTCAGGATGTTACTTAATAGTGATTCTTCTGTAGAGCAGGCTTTTAGCTGACCAATACCTCTGTAACTCGTGGGAATCGGACAAAGCCAAACTACGTACCGCCCCAAATAAGCTTTCCAGAGACCGAAACTTGAAGTGATCCCACAAGTTATGCGGTTTCTTGTTTGAGGACTCAAATGAAAATTTGGGTGGCTTTCGAGAACCACCTAAACCTGCTTATTGTGCACACTGGTAGGTCACAATTTTAATGGCTACTCAGCTCCTCCGATCTAAAAAAACTTGAATCGCTAGGCGATAACAATCGGTCTTTAGTCATGCTAATCGGGAAAGCAAAGGTTTCTGGCATGATTTATTAATACTTTACTACGAAGGCCATTTACCGGAACATGAGTTAAACTTTAGTTAAAAAACTTAGATAGGATCACATCTTTCTAATATAGAATCCCATTCCTGACAGACGGAAGTCAGAGTCTCTGGTCCATTTTGATGTGGTCATCAACACAATGACGAAAAAAAGTCTCCTAGTACACTTGCCTTTCACTTTGTAAGTGGCGTCTGATCTACTTTTCTTAGACGTTTTTGATCTTTGACTACATAGAGCAGGGTAGGTGATTCCATCCTAATTCTGACTTGTCTAAACTTCCTTAATTCTTTACCTGTTCCACTTAATTATGACTTTCATATAAATACCAGTTGCAGACCCTTCTGTCCAACGGAACGTATGTACAACCATATCAGTTTTTGCCTCGTACCCACTATCCAGACCCGTCTCTCAAGCTGGTTTTCTACTTTACGATCTACTGGAACAGTGAAAACACAGAAATCCTATCAAAAGTTGTAACGATAAAGCCAAGTGCATCCAAACACGGACACTGATGATTAGGTTTGATCAAAAAGCCGCGTGGGCCGCGGATTTTGGTGTCTAAGAGTTTCTCAGTCAGCACAGTGCTTTAGATCATGCTCAAATGCTTCCGATTTCCAGAGACTCGACTGGACGACTCTTCAGACTGAATGTGTTGCATAAATGCCGCATCATTTTTTGGTTGAAATAATATTCAAGACATCCAGATATCTTTTCATGAAACGACACTACCCCAATGGTTACTCAAAGCTAGGCGCCGCAATATTTATTTTACTTCCAATTACTTCCAATTGATTGAGACTTGTTCTGGTATTTATGAGTACTTTTTGAGGTTGAAACCAAACCAGTCTGGTGAAAATAAGCACCCATCTGCAGACTAGAGTGTTACTAACGGGAAAACCAACTGAATCCATCGGCTATGCTTTTCTGCTTACAGATCAACTCAAGTTTCATCATGAACGATGAATTTCCTATTAGCCGTAGTAAGCATGACCATATAGTTACATTGTTTGGGCAAATCATGGAGGCATACTCTTTGAATTTTCACGAATATTCCTCTCTATGTGAATACCAAATTGGATGCATATCGACTGGAACACCTTTCATAAAATGAAAGCTAGTTGACCGGTGAGACTTAGATGTACCGGTGTGTATGTTGTCTATAATAATACTCCACTAAATGAGGTGCACAAAAACCGACTCGTGCTTCCGTAGGGATAACGTACAAGATAACTGCCCATAGGCGGAAAAGTCACCCAAGCATCCCTCATTTTCGAAGCTCATCAGTTAGACTGGCTCCTATCTCTGCCTTCTCTCGAGCTTTCCGGTGAACTTGGCTGGTTTATAATCAAGTAGCAACTAAAAGTGACGTACATTTGATCAGAATTTCTGTTTAACGGTCATTTATTAATCGGACGACCATGGACGACATTGATAAATCGATAAATTCAACTCCTAAGAAACCTAAATACTGGTTGGCCGCTTGCATAACGTTTCCTTGTTAATACTTTGAGTTGCGTACTGAACCCGATTATCTATCGGCAACCGAAAAAATATCTCTATAAGCGTGCGAGATCCAAAACCCAAAGAACTTTATCCTGCTTTATCCAAGGCTACTTCTGTGAGCTGTCTCTAAGCTTCAACATTTTAAGCTGAGTGAAACGGCGGTACCCGTTCAACTTGCCACGGATAATATTCTCATAGTTATAGTGAACAGTGAATCGGTCGATGGCTGGTGATTGCCCGCACAGTAAACGCTCGGGGATTTGGAATATGCAGTTATTTGATATTCTGAGCTTAGAACGCAAAAACGCCTAGGTAAAACCGTTTCGGTTGCTCGTACGATGTGAACCCAAAATAAAAAGATCGCCATTCAGAGATTGTCTTAAGCCTACAGGCGGCCTAAGTACAGTGGCATGATAATAAGCTTCAACCATCATCTCTCCCAGCTCTACCGGGACATCCCACCTCCCAAAACATAATTCTCCCTGATGAATATCCAGTGCCGCACCATCTGGGTTACAGTGGATTGTAAAGCGGCAAAACAGCCGGACTGGTACTAGGGCTATCATCTCGTGGTGTGACAGCACAGTCGGGCAGGTTTTGGTCAAAAGTCGGAGCGGATATTCTTTTGGTAGATATCAGATAGATATTGGGCAAATCAAAATGGGCGACTCACTTGCGCTTCTCTGGTGATCTAAGTTGTTTAGGTTAGTTGCCTGTGAGTACGGTTCTAGCCCGACACGTTCACCCGAAGGCCGTTAAGATTGATGTGACTGTGGTTGTGTTTGACATTCTGTGACAAGCCTGCGTTCCGGGATTGAGAGGGGTTAATTTCCAGAGCCCATGTTTCGCATTTCTTGTCTATTCTTGTATCAGGGGATAGCCAGAAACATGTTCCCTCTCTTTATTGAACCAAACAAGTTATCAATATAGGGGTGCACTCTAGCTGGCCGATGCGCTACAGTACCGATGGGTCCATCTGAATTGTAAGTAAGAAAAAGCCCAAAGAAACCAATAGTCAGTTGGCAGATGATTACGAACTGCACAGAGAGCTAACAGACCCACTGTAAGCTCTCAGGCTATCACCGCTGACTAAAATCTAGAACAGGTTTCCAGATGATAGCATTCCGTCAAAATGTACGTTCCACTGGGAACCTTAGCTTAGCTAACCGTACCGTCAGTTTTGTAAAGCAAACGATTGCACACATTTCCAAGATCCTTGTCAATTTGATTTTTTAATTTGGTCTTTCCTTCCTTTTACGTCATTATCCAGTTGGTGGATCTATTACATTTTCCGTCTACTGCTCTGCGGCTCTCATATTTTGGTACGGAATCAAGCTTATCAATGAAAATGAGACCGACGCTGGAAGTGTCGTTCTAGTAAGTAATTCTGATGACTCATCTATGGTTTACTCACTCTGTGATACAGTTCGAAGTGTATACCGCTGGACAACATATTAGTAGTTGGCCAAACTGACGCAACATTCTCACCAACAGGCTAGCCAATCACTGCAGCATTTTACAGCTTTCTTAGCTCCTAAAAAAACGGTGTCAACCAAGGTGAGCAACTTAGGTCGCTTGGTAAACAGCTACAAGGTTTCCAAACGATCTGCTTGCCCAGAAGGTAGCTCAAAGAAATTGCAGTAGTGGTCAGAGCCAATCCTTTGTCAAAACCAACCAACTTGATATGAATGATGAAATTAACCACTATCATTCGTATGTAGATTCCCACGACACTAAAAATTATATGCCGGATTACGGGGGAACACAACTTCGCAACCATGCAACTATGGCCGCTAACAAGGTCAGTGCGAAACAGTCAAAATAGCTCAGCGAAATCTGATGCTTGTCAAAGCGAAGATTTCGTCGAGTTGAGGAAACTTGGAATATCCCCTATGATTCTGGTTTCGCCGTTCACAGAGACTGATATCAAGGATGGTCGGTCGCTGGTCTACTAGTGTAGCGATGGATACCACTGATGAACCATGCGAGTAGTCTGTGGTTACTGGCCAAGCTCCGTGCCGCATCTAAGGGAAGGTGAAGTGTATTGCAGAAATTCCGGAGCCATTTTGCAGTGTCCGTTTACCACTGTGTAATCATCATCATCATCATCATCATCATCATCATCATCATCATCATCATCATCATCATCATCATCATCATCATCATCATCATCATCCTGAGGTGCCTATACCTCCAACCGCTCAGTCAGACAATCTGGAAAGAAACTGACAGCAAGAATGCCACTGACATCGATTAGCCGCCATTTCTTGCAACGTCTCCAGCCAAGCACAGACGAGGTCTCGGGGACCCCATCTTGGGAAGCGTACAACACCAACAACACCCAAACTCTTCGTGATCTCTTTCAAGCTTTTCTGCCAAATCATGTGCTGTCCACCTCGCGGTTTGCGCCATCCTGAAGGAGGCACGGAGAACAACACTCGTCTTGGTAGACGGTGTTTCGGCATGCGTAGCACATGACCGCGCCACCGCATTCGATGATGCTGGATGTTTTCCCGGATTGAGGTGCCTGCAGCACAACCAAATACCCGTTTTCTAATCGCCTCGTTACTGACACACTGACGCCATCCACAACCAGCCACGCTTCCCACTGTGTAATAGTCAATGAATATGCAAGAAAGCTCAAGAAGATGTGTTAGGATGTTCAGTTTTTAAAGACTATGTGCATATGAGATGTTTACTTTTCTCTCTAATGATTTGGAACTGCTTAGTTGATGTTTGATAATAAGTAATTTCTTAGCGAGAAGCTTTCCTCCTTTCAACATTTGGCATAGAACAGCTGACTTCGTGTGTCAGAAAAGATGAACCGAATTGATAAAAATATGAATCGGTACTCCTAGATCCTTTGTGAGACGCATTAGTTCTCAATGTTAGATTGAAGTTTGAAAATGGGAAGTTGGTCTCGACTGATGCCAATAGAGAAAATAATCAACTTTCTTCAGTTGTCTATAGAATGGCGATGAAGAGTTTATTGTAGTGTATAAAAATGTAGAGCAAAACGCTCACTGTTTAACTCTCCAATGGGCTAATCTCCGAGGTGACAGCTTTTGTTCGACATCAGTAAGGACGAATCTGTTGCCGCGATCCCGTTACTGGAAATATAATTACTCTGATTTGAAAGTCTAGATGCGAGTGCTGAACTGGTTTCTCTATCTAGCACTTCAAGCACTGAATTTTATTCGCTTTGGAGGTGTCAAGTAGCACACAAGTGAAAAGTCAGGAGGGTTTACTATAAAGATATGCTCTAGTGGATGGGCTATTCGATAACGAACTTGCTTAACTCAGAGTACCGATTTCGCACAACCAATAGGAACTCGAGGTCCGTAACATCGATAAATTGGACGATGCATATGCTTGAGGAAAACGTTTTATTGCTAAACGCGTTAGGGAATCATTTTTTATACTTAACCTAAGGTTTTTTATTGGAAAACAGAGCAGCATTATAGGTATCTCATGTATTGGGATCTCTGCTTTCGAAAGCTTTGTTATAGACTTATACAGAGGTGGCCTATTTAATAAAGTGTAGGTAAGTTTGATAACACTTTATCCGGTAGAAAATAGGTGTGGTATATCTTCTGGTAGAAGACGTCGGTGTCTTCTAGATGTCTGATTTCCATGTTTAGATGCTGGCACCCCTAGGCACCCAGCATAGCCGTTAAATGATCTGGTGGCTGTTGGTGCTTGACAACGGATCTGATCACTAGCCACCCAATCGATTACCAATGAACGCACCCGAGCTACCAGTATCCAAAGAAATTACTTGGGATTATTCTTGTATCCGACTGTTTTCGGTCACTTTCCACTACCCACTTGATGGGTCCTAAGCTCTGTCAGTTTTGCCTGCCTGTTAGTTGATTTCATCTTGTTGAATTTGCCTCACCGAAGCCCGTTGACCTTTCTGGATTTACACCATTCACATATGTATTTTGGCGACAACTAGTTCAGGGTTGTTTTTTGAATGATGATTCATTACGGACTGTTTTTCTTTCTGTTTTCGATTCCAGGTCTTCATCAATGTTATCATGGGAAGCATATATCTGGGTAACGCACTACCGTGTTTCCAGTTTTTCGTCAATGCCCGATCCGCTGCTCAGGTGGTATTTGGAACGATTGAACGCGTAAGTGCCAGATGTATGGATGGCATACTTTATCAGTATGCTAGGTACGAATAGGTGATATTGATTTGGCAGCAAAACATGTTTTTGTTAAAGCTTATTTACGCCATCAAGAAAATATGGAGAGTTTCAAGGTGGAGTTACCGGGACGCCGTGACCAGAACACTTGACTTTTGGCTATCCTGAACGTGTCTCCGTGAAAAGAATGGCTTGCGCGCACACGATTTGGAGTCAAACTTGGGGCTTGCGTAAACGGATTAGGAATCAAGGGATAGACAATTGTGACCAAACACTATGCCAACATTCAATGGGCTCCCAGACGTGGCTGTATCGAAAGCATATAAGCTTCACTGAGACAGTAAAATTAGGCACATGAAAAGATCATCGGTGTGAAGCCTTCTACCATATGTCTACATTCTGCTATGCACCAATCTGTTGTCCCACAGTCACACCAGCTGGCTACCTGATATATTTAAAATTCAACTTCATGTTTAGTCTCAGATGAATTGGTTATCAACGGATATACAAAGCATCATTCATGTAATGATGCAAATCCAAATCATTTTTTCGCTTTACTGAACTATGATTACTGACGGCAAAGGTGAAATTCATAGAGGTATCTGATGTTTGATTTCTGGTGTCAGTGAAAATGGAATAGTCAAGAACTTCCAATCAGTTTAGAGCTGCGAAAGCATCCAGGCGTCTGGATTCTGCGCTTTGATTACAAAATGGCAACTTTTCAGGGGCGTATAGGGATTTCAACGAACGGAGGTGACAGCGCAGTAGTCTTAGTCACAAGATTCAAGAATGGCAAGATACAGACCCGAGACCTAAAAGCTCAGCAATACGAGAATTTCCATTCATGGGTGTAAGAAGATTGTACCTTGGTGTCATTGATTTCAGTATGGTAATCATTCCGTTCTGGTCTATACAGCAGTGGATTTTTAATTAAATGGACCATTGAGGAAAAAATATTCTGCACTTCCGTGAATCAAAAACTGGTTGCACTCAACTATGCTCACAGTATTAGCGTCCGCACTCATCCTTCTCTCTCTGGCGTGCCAATATTCTGTCTTGGCTGCTCTCTGCCTACTTTCCAATCGTTCAGCTTACCCCCCCCCTTCCGAATTGCCGAATACCTCTGTCGAGTGCATTCAAGTTTGCCGAAATACCACCGTTCAATGTACTATTTTGACAAAGTCTCGATCAAGTCTCGATCACATCCGACAGTCTCTCACGGGAAATTTGCCCTTATGACGAGTACCAGGTTTCCAAATGTACCCACTACCCCTCATTTGTACAGCAGGATTCTTAGTGAGATAGAATTTCCAAAACTACCCAGTCCCGAATTTTTATTTTTCTTACAAATCGACGAGAACCTTTCGCTCCACCACATCGGTTATACATAAGTTGCTTTCGTTCGTTTTGTAGCAACTTGGTATCGTTTTCTATCCGGCGTTTTAACCATGTCAATGGAAAGCTTGTTACTATCAAGATTATCTCCAACACACCAATTCCAATTGCTTTGTGTGAGTTCGATTCTCAGTTCTTGGTACAGTATTTTCTAAAGTAGAAGGAATTAGCGAGGCCTGAACAGAAGTCCTGTTGCTGGCGTTTGACCGACCTCGAATTCCCATTCTTTTGTTCCAGCAATCAAGAGATAATCCTCAGGGGGAATTTTGAATTTAGGTTTAGAATGATGGCGTCTGCCGGGGAATGTTCTCAAAAGCTAAATAACTACACCAGTAGGATTACAGCTTACCAGATATGTATTGCAGTCAATTGCGTTGGCCAAAACAGTAGATATTACTCACGCAAGCCAAAAAAACAACTCAAAGTTTGCAGTTAAGAAGTGCCATAAGGGCGACTCTTTATTAGTCGTGCTAGACAACTTGTTGAAGAGCCGAAATTTCCGTCAATGGATAAAAGTTCAGATTTTCTCAATACGGACTTGAATGTCACTACCGTAAAATCTGGTGATTCTCAGTGCTACCCGGCTACGATGTACTCAGTAGTTTAGTTTCGCTCCATCAATTTCATACTTTGAAATATTCCGATGGTCGCTCCTTGACTGGATGTACCAAACTATCATGACACGGAACACTGTCATTTCGTCCGCCCATCAGCAACTCCTCATTTGCTTTTAACTTCTTAGCGAATCAGTGGAGTTGGACACTGTACCATAGTATTGAATCTAACATGACCTCGTGATATCATGAGCTAACTCCGCCTATGTACTTTCGACATACATCTGTTTTGCTTATCTGTACCCGCCACCCACCTTGCCGTCCCATCCGACACTTGTGTGTGTCTGTGTGCGAATGTGCTCGTTCGTGCGATCGCACGGCGGATGAGGGGGCGACCGCAACCCAAACTACGAGTCAAGATTCCGCTCGCCGTTGTTTGGCTTGCGAACGTTGACACCAGGGTGCCGGTCAGTGACAGACTTGTGCACTTTTTGACGCTATGACCGTGGACCACTGAGGTCTGTTGCTTACGCTTGAGAAATTAGTACCATAGAGCTGTGAACCCAATTCTCGTTTGAGGCTAGCTTGCCCGGCCTGTTTTTGCGGCCGGTGATAGTCATAGTGTCCTGACGGTGGCGGGTGACTACGGGTTCTGATCAGACCACTGAGATGTACTCTTACTCTTCGTCATTCCAGTTAGTGTAGGGTGATTCATAACTGTTCAAATCACTCCTGGTTGGGAATAAGTATCAGCTGGTCGTTACAGCATACATCTGTTTTATCTGTACCCGCCACCCACCTTGCCGTCCCATCCGACACTTGTGTGTGTCTGTGTGCGAATGTGCTCGTTCGTGCGATCGCACGGCGGATGAGGGGGCGACCGCAACCCAAACTACGAGTCAAGATTCCGCTCGCCGTTGTTTGGCTTGCGAACGTTGACACCAGGGTGCCGGTCAGTGACAGACTTGTGCACTTGTTGACGCTATGACCGTGGACCACTGAGGTCTGTTGCTTACGCTTGAGAAATTAGTACCATAGAGCTGTGAACCCAATTCTCGTTTGAGGCTAGCTTGCCCGGCCTGTTTTTGCGGCCGGTGATAGTCATAGTGTCCTGACGGTGGCGGGTGACTACGGGTTCTGATCAGACCACTGAGATGTACTCTTACTCTTCGTCATTCCAGTTAGTGTAGGGTGATTCATAACTGTTCAAATCACTCCTGGTTGGGAATAAGTATCAGCTGGTCGTTACAGCTACTAGGTTATTCATTTTATACATCTTTTGAGAAAGCCAAACTGTTGATTTGTTCGGCATATACATCGTGTGGTGTCTTGTATGCGGGATATTTTCAATAAGGGCGATTATGTCACAGTCGTTGACTTCTTTACTGACAGGCCAATCGGATAAACGGAGAAAATATTGCACAATACTGGTCCGAAATGTGACAGACCTGACCGGAAAGAACATAATTAGAATGGGAATCACTAGATATTCAAATGCCTTATAGTGAAGTGACAAACGCTGTAAGTTATCGAGCCAGGAAGGGTGCATTCTGCCGTCCAATCATTTGCAAAGCACTTCGGACCTTTCGAGAAGTCACCTTATCAGGAATGTCTGGAAGGCAACCGTTGCATTTACTGTTAGATAACATTTTGCTCTGGATACTTAATTTCGTTGAGCGAAGTCATAATCTGTCGAGTTTTAAGATAGACCAGAAGCCAACCAGCAAGGTAGTTTACTATCGGAGGGATAGATAACTACATAACCTCGAAGAACAATATATCCTCTACCGTCACTGACTTTAATTTTTGTAATTCATTCTACTGAGTGACAACGGCAATTTTTCGTGAACTTAGACCGTATGAATGGCTAATTTCTCCCACGTAGACCCCCGTATGAAATATTGCCATTGGTGTTCCTCCTGCTCCTTCACCTCTAGATGGTATCCTTCGAAAACTTGTGTGCATCACTGAATACAGTTTGTTCACCAATGATCTGCAGGTCGTTTGTTGTCGCATGGACGGGGCCCATCCCTCTTTTTAACCACTTCGGCTACCTAGACAGGGGAAGTCGAGTGCCAAATGTCGGGTTCGAACCACGGACCTTCCGGTCGGTAAATTCGCGCTCTAACCACTTGGGCTATCTCGCCCCCCCCATTTTTTATACTGCCATTTCGACCGACCAGCCTATGCCTCTTTTAACACCCATGTGAATTTTCAGTCCGGATCACCGAACACAATTTTCTTCCTCACCTATTCTAACTACCACTTGTATTCCCAAATATCATTCCCTCTTTACCTTTCCAACTTCTGACAATCTTCATGTTCCCTGCAATTGAATTTTATCTGTGCAAAAATGTGTCCCTCCACTTGTACTATACACACACGCTATTTCCTTTTTGCATGCTGGAGTTAATTTTTTCAACCAATTCATCATTCGTCCTTAAATATAAATCCATCCATGTCTCGTTAATCACTTTATGGCTAACAGAGAAGTCAATTTTCGTAGGGTAATGTTAAACAAAGTGTAACTAATTTTTCCGATAAAGCCTCAGCTTAATCCTTACTTCGTTATCCATCGTCGTTAACTTTTGATTGTTTGGGCCTACTGACTTTGTACTTCATATGCGTCCTGGGATTTTAAATATGCCACACTTCGGAACAATATTCTGACACATTTCCGACACCCAGAATTCATTCACAGAGATCTCAGATTTATTCGAGACCCCAAAAAGTGAGAAAGTTGAACTTTGAATCTTGTCAAAATTGGGCGATCTCTCCGTTGTTGTACAGCTAACATACGTGACCAATTTATCGCTTACCTTTGTTCTGAAACCTATCCCTTCCTCGGTATTCATTAAAGGACCCTCCAATTGACAAGGACAAACCGGGATTGAAGTTGCCGAACTTCGTTGGGAACATCACGTTTACTGACATCGACTTTTCCTATCCCAGACGTCCAGACATTCAGGTGAGAATCCCTAATGGATCTTAGTCATATTTCGGGATTTCGGTATGGCAGGAAGTTCTTCTGTTCTACGGCACCAGTTCTCAGATTTAGTGATGAAGTACACCACATGCCAAGACTGCTCAGATCATAGTGTTTTTTGAAATTTGTGTGCAGTAATGCTGTGCACTTCACTTGTAGATAAATTAGTTAGACTGTTTGCGGATCGGTTTAAATTACGTTTTGCTTTGAGAAATTTGAGAGCGAATATTGATGAAGATGCAAGAACACCTTTTTATATGCGTAAATTCCATGGGGCAGGGAACCACTACTGTCTTCCAGGCACCTAAGAAAACACATATTTTTTGATATTCACCCAGAATAAATGCAAGTTAAAGCCATCCGATGGTTGAAGGTTTGTGTAGAGGTTAGTTCGTTTGCCGCCAATCTGATATGCTGCCAAAACCGAACGCGTATCCCAACACCCACAACTAATGGATTACCTATTTGGAATCCTCAAAGGAAAAAGGTCTTCGTGGCCTCGCATGCTTCATCAGTAGTATCGACCGTTACAGTGGTAGCTCGTGCAGTGGTAGAGCAGACGTACAGCCGCCTGCAAGGACAACCGAGCATCTCTTTCAATCCAGAAGAAATCAAAAACAATGAGTTCCAGATGTGTGGTTTTTGCAAGATGCTTGTTGGAAGGGTTGGCCTTCAGTTACAAAGTTACTCATTCACTGGGCTGGGGGTCCAAAAACTGGATGTAAATGCTGCTTTCACAGGACAACTGCGCCACACACTAACCCTCTTTTCTCTTCCTGAGATGCGACGGTCAGGCTACATTTATTCCTTGGCCCTTATCCGAGATCCACAGGTCCTCTGTAGTGACCCTGTTTCTGATTCCTACTTCTTACCTAATACCACGGCAGTAGACGGTGCGGTGCAGTGTTGAAATTCCAGCTGAGTTCATGTCACTCCATTACCATATGTGCCAGCGGTAAAAAATGTGAAGGTGGTCCCCCAACCAACTGTTTCGTATATATTTTTCGCCCTTCATTTTCCGATGCACGGATTCCCCTTCGACTTTGCTTGTAGATTCTCAAAAAGTTCAACCTCAGTCTGGAGAGCGGGAAAACTGTGGCACTTGTTGGTCCAAGTGGTTCTGGCAAAAGCACGATTATTCAACTCCTACTGAGATTCTACGATCCGACATCGGGTGTTGTAAGTTTCGAGAATTAGAGTTTAAGTAATCAGCAGTGCATATCACAAGCATTACTGCATTCAATTAAACGTTGTTTCCAAGCTGTAACACAATACGTGGCTTTTGTCATACTGAAGAGCTATGCTGATGCACCTCGATCGAGACTAAAAAGCGGTGCATGACCTAATGTCATGCATTGCTGTCAATCATCTGCAGTCCCAAGAAAGGTTCAAAATCTAAAGATTTTACGAGAAAGACAAACACCGTTGAGCTTAGCTTTCTGATGGTCACAATAAGGATAGCTGGGGCGGTTGAAACTTAATATCGGTTGAAACTTTATCGACCATACTAAAATCCGTATGACTTAAAAGCAGATGATATTTATCAGTCATTTTGAACTTGATGCACAGTATTATTTGGCAACGGATTATCTTGCATAGGTGTGACACACGCACACATACGCAACCAGTAGCTTCAACTATTGCCTGCTTGGTTGCTATAGTCAGTCAGTATCAGTATTAAAATGTATTTTTATGAGTCAGTGATACCTTCTAAATGGGTATTCGTCAACGTTATGAATAGGAGATTGGCTTGATAAAGGCATGTGATACCTGTGGATTATTTAGCGTCAAGGTTGGCATCAAAGACTCCGAGAACACCACTAGTGCAAGCTATGCTTTCTTCGGCCTGCTTCAGATCTAACAGGTTACACCTGCCGGCCTTCTTTTCTACCGAGCTCTCATCATGTTGACACCTTCAAAACGGTGGTTCACCGAACTAAACAGAAAAAATCGCATACCTTTACGGAGTGCTCATTTCGCGTGAAGCTGACTTATGACCAAATACTCACCTATGCACTTTCGGGTCAGTTGATCAGGAGCGCGAACAGAGAGCGATGGTTGAATGTTATCGGCCTGACCAACTGAAGCGCTCCAGAAGAACAAATTTGCCAAGAATGAGTGATTTGTAAATAAGAATGTCCCTTGGTCGAATACAAGTCAGTGGTGGGCAGCAAATTCGCCCATCATATGAGAATCACTTAACCGGACTTCAAGTTTTTCTCAGGACAGGTCCGCATTTTTCCATCAAGTACAAAGTGCACTAAGCAAGACAGACAATTGCAATTAGATTTTATCCCAGGAATGTTACTGCCAGTCCAATCATGGTAGGAAATCTTGTTTTCTATATAAGTGTAGTATTATAATTCCAGTTACTTCAGATTCGTCATCTCACGAAATTATACTCTTTCTGGTAGACAGTGAAGCCACAAGAAGACGCATATTTTGAACACATGGCAACGGACTTTAAGGGACCAAAATCACTGACGTACCGGTTATGTCTGAATGCACAATGTCATATCTGATCATCAGTTGTCTTCGTCTTTTTTGATGCCATTCTCATGAGAAGAATCATTCAGCTAAGTTGATTAAGTAACACTCATACCCTAACCTTAAGGATGCGAACACACGGCTCTAATTTAATGGTAACACAACCAAATCTCATTGCACATCTGATTCACTTCTTTATGCTGAGGACACCTTAGTCTGCACAAATACACAGTTCCTTTTGTAGCTTTCCGATATCAAATACATCAGTTTTTCTTGACAGAAGCCTAGTGGCGTGTAGTCGCAAACTTTATGACCGTTTCGTTTTTTCACCTCACTGGCAAGTAGTTATTGATCACACGCCCATTCACGAAAACGTCACTATTACTCACTTTACAATCGAATATGGTTTACCTGTGACATGTTTGACAGTTTCCCCTTCTTGGGGAACACTCGCCTTATATACAGGAGTTTCCTTCTAACACTTGGATTCATCCTCCAAAGGAGGTGGTTAGTCTGTACGTGATCATTTTTCGGGAGTTGTTTGTTTACACCTTTGGAGAAGCAGTTTTAGAGTATGATAGACGTCAGTCTCCTGCTGGCAAAAACCTGAGTCGCCCACCCACTAAACGCCTCTGGGACGATGGTCTGTCGTACATAATGGAGCACATTTGGGGGAGGAAGTTGGTGATGCTACGCGGTATTTGTTAAGCTGACTGCCTGACGGACCAAGTCGAATAGGCGCATGCAAGGTTTAGGAAAGATGTGTTCACTCGTTGGATCTCCAGGTGCAGATTATCATCAACTCGGTAGCAAACGGCAACCTCCTAGGTATATTTTTTGCTTACCACGATGGGATCTGTTCTAAACTTCTGGGTCAAACAGGCGTGTGTGAACAATATCCTTTGAGTTGAATGAGCCAGATCAAACAGGGCTGCATACTTATCTGTCAGAGTGCGTAGAATAATGACTATATTCCCCTCTAGCCTTGACTTGAGGGTGCAAAACTAGCACATCTATGCGGCGCACATTTTCTGGTGTTTACTGATCTCTCCCGTGTTGGAGGCATTGTGATGTCCGCAACATATTCAGTAGTACTGTTATTTTCATCATTCATATATGTGCCAGGTTTTTGTGCCACATTAAGGGATTGCAAAAAAACCCACACAAATTCGTTCGTTCTGCCTAGGGTAGACAGTCTTCATGGACGGTAGAAAGATTCTTCTTTTGGGGTTGCTGCCCCGAGTGTTTTTCTCTGATAGCTGCTAAGTGCTTGTTCTCGTGCGGCATATCTTTGACAGTGTTAGGTTCGTTGGATCTGGGGGCATCATCGCAGCTGGTATAATTTTTTTCTGTTTTAGCAGTCACCGCATACATGTTCACTTTCTCTTCTGATGTCAACCGGCTTCGACACACAGGTACTGTGTTCAGAAGATTTTTCAGAGCCATCTTGAAGAAAATGATAAACACTTTGGCTTTATTTCGTCACTTTTCTATCACATTAAGTGTTGTGCACCATGCTCCATCTAGGTCTCGTCGTGAAGCTCTTGCGTTTGTTTATTAATTTCATTAAGGGATTATTGTATCTGTTAGTTCGGGTTAGAATTTGACGTAAAAATAGTCTTTTGGTTAGAATCCACAGGGTTGTATCACGGGATCCTCATTCACCATTTTTCAATTACAATGTTTCCCCCAGAACCTAGATATTTTAGTGTGCTTAAGTTGTCATTGTGACAAACCATTTGGCCTTCAACTATTGTGGACGACTCCGCGGATTATACATCACAGGTCATACTCTCAACTCTCTCAACAATATTACAGGTGACGATTTGGGAAGTGTCCCACTAGATGTGATCTTAAGCCATGCCAGTATGGTTGAGCTAAGCTAGTCATATGTTCCCAATGAACAAATGTGCTCATTGGATTAACATCCCGTTTGACAGAATCAACCGAATTCAGCCGTTCTTTCTGTAAAAATTTTATGAATGCGTTTAATACTGTCACATTTTTATGAACCTCTTTATCGGCAGATCAAAGTCGAAGGCACTGACATTCGTCAACTGGACTTGAAGGCCTTTCGAGCACAGATGGGATGTGTTCAGCAAGAGCCAATTTTGTTCGAAGGCACAGTGAGTGAGAATATTCGCCTGGGTAAAATGGATGCAACACAGGAGGAAATTGAAGAGGCCGCGAAGGCGGCAAACGCACATGACTTCATCCTGCAGCTGCCTAATGTGAGTGTCTTCCAAGTGAAGTGTTTACTAAACTTATACCCAGCAGTGATAAGGAATAAATGACTGTGATAAAATGTAGATCTCTAATGACAGATATAAGCTCATCACAGTGATTTAGTGCAAACAGGATCACTTTTTTGTCCCGGAACTTGGCTAAATTAATGGACGGTATACCCGGGAGGCAGCAACAAAGTCAAGCGCTCTCAACCGATGTATTGAAAGTAAAGCCGAAAAGTGATCCTTAATATTTGTTGTCCTATATTTATAGTGAATTCTTATGATACAAAGGTATACTGAACATTTTGAGTAGTTGGTGCGTGATGACCGTCTGGCCCTCCTCAGAATGTGTGATGCGAGTCGTCCTTGAACCAAGGTACGCCTGAACCTGAAAGCGATTTCTAATAAAATCCTAGAAGACATCTCTGCATCGATCATAAAATGAAATAAAGAGCAAGGGGAACCCACGGTCGGTCTTAAGAGGGCACATGAAGTAACCTGTGAGAAAATGCTATCAGTAAAAGGTAGTTGTCAAATAGTGTTATCGCTGTATTTGTCACAATTTGCAACTCTCTGGTGGGTTAAACCACTACCAATTACAGTGTTGAGAGATCAACATCTAGGTGGAACGGCAGCATCCCGTATGCGTCCATCATCTAAGAATGCATTGATCTTAACATTTCCGAGGCATTTAAAATCCCTCTTCTTGAAAGTTCTTTATTCATGCAAAGTGGCTTATGATCGAAATTTCATATCCCACTACATTTCTGAGCATATTTACCATACTGCTATCTGTAGGTAGTTGTCCTTTGGCTAACAATGTGGTTTTTAATCGGTTTCTAATCCCTATGAAGCAATGAACCCAGGTCGTTCAAGTAACACCTCCCAAATGAACTTGCCAGTTATTCCAACGAGCAGGACTCGTGGATTTCCCACACACCGATAAATTTATCATTCTAAGTCAAAGGACAAACAACATCCGGTGAAATATTTTATGCGCAAATTAACACCACAAAACTGAGTGATGTTGCACTGAGTTTTCTTCATTACATTGGGTTATGTATTAGCTTTCTGTTCAGAAAGCTTTAGACAATTCTGTAATTCAAAGGGTGATTCTGCTAATAAGCATGCCTCCTTCCTTGAGTCTTTCCTTGTATTCTCTGTCATCACGCTTGCCAAAATGCTAATTTTGCTGTTCGGAAGATTTCCTAATCTAATGTCCCTTATCCCAGTTAACATGTTCTAAATCTTCACAGGGTTATGAAACAAAGCTTGCAGAGCGTGGGGGTGGAATGTCTGGAGGACAAAAACAGCGCATCGCCATTGCACGTGCTCTGATTAGTAAACCAAAGTTGTTGTTACTGGATGAGGCAACCTCGGCATTAGACACACGATCCGAAAGGATTGTCCAAGAGGCGCTTGAAAGGGCCTCAACTGGGCGTACATGTGTGGTTGTCGCTCACAGACTCTCCACCATTCGCAATGCGGATTTGATTTTGGTGTTGAAGAATGGAGTTATTTGGGAATCAGGCAACCATGATGAACTGGTGGCAAAGAATGGCCTATACGCAACCATGTTAAGCAATCAAGTATGTTAATTATTGGGTGTGTAATAACGTTTAGATGATCTTATGTTTGAAAACCCATATGCGCGTTTCATTTCACCAGAATATTTTGGAATTTTGATAACTGCATTTGGGGTTCGTAGCTATTCGTCGTGGCATGATCTCGAATCCCAATCCTTGTTGCAGTGAAAGCGTGCAAGGGGACGTATGTAACAGAATAGGGAAAGTCCTATCGAGAAAAAAACAAACAAACTGCTTGTGTGGAAACGGAGGTAAACTCGTGTGGCACATTTGTAAAACAGCGAAGATAATCCAAGTAACGTCTTTAATAGTTCTTTTAGAATAACCTGAAATACATATTTGCCAACATATACCGCAGTAAACACCGGTACGCTGGAAACTAAGCTTATCTCTGACACGGGAAGTAGTTTAAACAGCAGAACACAACCTGGAAGAAAGTGGTCCGTATTTTGCCATATTTCTGGCCCTCAGTTTGAAAGCAGTTTTTGAGTAGTCTTGAGAGCGATAACTCCTCCAGAACTAACATGTACCTAGCATTTGGAAAATGGAACATGTAATTTGCGAGGTGAGTCCCGCAGGTTTTTACTTAAAAGCCATATGTCTGACTTGCTGTCATTAGGCACATTAGGTACATTAAAGACTAGTCAGAACTAGTCAGACAATGATGAATGAACAATGGTTCATTAACGGACGACCGAACGGGAGCGCAGTGGTATTCTCTTTGGATGACATTTGCATCAGTATGAAAAAGGAACTTTGCCAAAACTATGACACACAAGTGCGAATCTTTACGTGAATCGGCTCGCCATACAATGCGCTGATAAACACGGATCAGTCGTGTTTCGCGTTTTGCCGTCCTCTTACAAACTAATCAATGCGCGCTTACTGTGACTCTGTAATATGCTAGTTTGGCTGGATTGGCTAGTCATTTGTCGTATTTGTGATCAGCATTTGTCATAGCTTTTCCTACCAATGTTAATACTTATACATTCCCCACTGAGCAGCTGATATTCAGGCTTACGTACCGTATTACTTGTCGTATTACACTTCATGCTCACGCTGAGTGCGTTGTGCGGTAGCATTTTTACGATATGTGATCTAACCATTCCTAGTTTGTAATATGCTTTCAGTAGTCAGCTCATTTACCAAAAAAGTGACCGCTGTTTCCTTCGATACAGTATTCTGTTAACACGTTCTTTTCATGTCCATGACCTATAGAAACAAAGTGATAAGGTTGCCGAAATAGAGGGAGACAGTGAGGATGAACAGGCAGTAGATGGTGCACCGGAAACTGAGAAGAAATTGAAATTCCAAGACGACAATGTATGGCAGCTGGATGCAGATAATGAGGTAGGTGGAATAATATCAAAAAAGATGTTTAAATCGCTTTTCTTCCAGGCAGGTCTCGAAAGCTTATTGAATTCCACTACAGCAGTTTTCGTGTTTTCACCACACGATTTTCTGAATCCCTCGAGAAACTGAAGCGATTCCATTTTTGGATGTGCTGACAGTAGTTGGGGTCATCTGTGGATATCAGTACACTGGCCAGGGCTTGTGACTCTGTTACCGCCTCTTCAAACCACGATCGGTTCGATGGGCTGCTAGATCAGCCAATCGGTGCATTTCATGCACACATGCACACACACTCGCGCTTGATTCATACACAAGTGGAAACCTGCTCACACTTGCCAGTATCTCACAACTTTTTCGTGCTTGTCTTGAATATGTAGCTAATATATATTATGTCGTTTTTTGCAATTCATGGAGGATCCAAGAATAAAAGTTTGTTTGAGTATATTATCATTCAATGTATTCGTAGTCTGTGAGCTACTTATATTATGGTGGCTGACTTCTGTGCAACAGTGATCTCACTTCACAGTTGCTTTGTGCCGGTGCTGTGTAAAAGAAGCGGTTGTCGGCGATTCTGCATAGACAGAAAGTCAATTTCCAAAGTCGCCAGGTTGATGTTCAGTTGTTCCTCGTAGGAGTTAACAATAGTTACCCAGATATTCAGTGGGTCCCAAAGCGGCCTTGGCGAAGAGCCAGCGCACTACTTGAAGAATACACTTCAAATATATTTCAATCCAGTCTTGCCTGATTATCCCCACTTTTAATCATAGTTTTCATTTGTCGATCTGGTGCAAACTGTTTGCATTACCCAGCCTCCTAATTTTTGTCCCCTTTCTTGTTCCGACCTCATTCTAAGTAACATCCTTGTCAAAATCCATATTCCATTCACCTAATCGACGCCTCAGTTCCACTAAAGTGGACATGCAAAAAATACCCTAACGTGATTGACCCCTGAAGAATCCGCTTCTGGGTTTGAACATGGGCATTTTACGGTCGCATTACCGGATTTCTACAGCAGATCTAATATTCTCTTCGAAAACTGAGCTTTAAACCAAATTTGGTCTTATATTGGAGGAAAAATGGTTCGGATAGACTCTACCTTCACTTGTATCTCAGCTGCAATGAGGCTATCAAACGTGACACAGACGTTTTACTATAAACAACAAAGAGTGGTCAACACTGTGCAAAATGAAGAGTAAGGGATTTGCATTAAGGGTGTGCTTCTCAGGTCGGGTATTCTTCTCTGCACGGAGTAGATATCCTGCTCTGCAACGTTAACGTTTAGTCAACGTTTATAAGTTTTCAGAGATAGTACTCTAGATTCGAATTCGTTTGGGTAGTCAAAGCACATTGAACCAGTTGAGAGCAGTCGATATGTTACTCTGTGTTCCACACCTTACTTGACACTCGACCTGTGAAACATGCAGCCTTTCCGATATGCTTACAGACCATACACTGCAATCTTGCTGGTTGGAGGTGTAATCTCTTCATGCGGAACAGAACCGCAGAATGTCCACGAAAGTGAGGGCTAGATTACATGCAGTTAGGTGCAGCTGGCTCACTTTGATTGACTGGCAGACAGTTGAAGAAGGCTAGAATATGGCTGGAGTCACATAATTTACATCCGTCGGGATACAGCACATCGCTAACTCCTTGGTAGGCGTGTTTCATGGTTTAATCATCTTCGCGTAGTGTTTCACGACTGATGATCACAGTGCGTAAGTGCCGTAAAGAAATTCATATGAGGAAGAAAAAATGCTGCGTTCGAGAAGAAGGACTCATTAGTATGTTCAACTTCTCCCGGACAATGGTTATAGGTTTTCAAATGAGCTTACGAACATTCTGTATCCACTTGACCTTCTGAAGAAAGCCTGTAAGAAACTTTTTTAAGTTGAAAAATACAATGAATCGTTTAGCCGTAACACCCTTATGGTGTCTAGTCGCCACTTTTTCCAAACGAAGCACAAGGGTTGAGCTACTGCCGTTTGTTTAAGTCTAGGGTTTGGGTTCGAACGATAGGCCTGCCGGTCAGTGATTTCGCGCCTTAACCGCTAAGCTATCTCAAATTTGTTTCTGAGGTAGACGTGAGTATAGTTGTTGATTTCAGGATAGCATGATAGTCTCCTTACAGGAGGAACATACAGACTTTCCTTAGATTAAGCGATTGAGGAATAAGCCTGCGAAAGGATACAATGGCTACTAGTTAACCCGACGAATACAAGCCTTATTCTTCCTAACGGTCCATTGTTCTTTGTTTATAGTCTATCTCAGAAAGCATGGCTTCTGCACTAAACTTCCGCCAAAGGAGGAGCTTAGTGTCACAACAAATGCGTGAAAAGGTAAGTTGTTGGTCCTTGGTTATTAATTTGTTTCACTTTAAAAGTGCTGGCATTAATGATTGCTTCATACATGTGGTTAAGGGGACCGGCCTCTGGAAAATCTCTTGAAAAGGAAACCTAATAGATGGTAAGGTTTTTGTGAGTTACTGGTTTAGTTGGACACATGGCATTCGCAAAGACCTTATATCTCCCATGCTCCAACTAATGGTCGACCCTCCTACTATTCTCTTTTCGATCATTATCCTTTGACCCATCTACACTCATTTGGCCGTTAAGACCTTTCAGATTCACTGCGTTGACTGTCCATGACACGGGTTGTCACTTTTATTCTCTTAGACTCAATGAAAATATCGATTTCGCTCTATTTACTAGTACCATTTTGGATTCCCTTCAGAGGCCCGTTACAATTTGCTGACATTCTCATCAAATGCGCACTTTTCGCCACAATGTTTTCTCCCTTATCCCCAAGCGTTGTTCTATGGTTAGACTCATTTTGAATGTAGTCCAATGGCCACTATCGTCGTACTTCTGCTACACTTTTCCTAGACCATTTTCAGGTTAAACACTTCTCCATGAGATATAAAAATTACCCCGGATGGGTGTCTTCCTGGTGGGATTGGAGACACACTTCGCACTCTTTTTGCACAAAGCTTATGGAATTTAAGTACAGTCCGTTTTTCGAGATCCTTCCATGATTGTGACTGAGGACGTAATATTAGATGGTAGACCTGTCTTATAGTCATCCACTTATTTCGTCTACATAATAACAAATAATTGCTGTCACCAGATCACATCATGTATGTGCCAGCAAGCTTGATCATTCACCAATCAGTGCATTCTTCACGGCAAAAAGGCTTTCCAGCTCCACATCTTAAATCCATAGATCCTCTGTGTTGTGCGCGAAACCCAGGTTTAACTAATGGAAACTAATGTTTTAACTGATGGCCCATGAGTACATTGGGTAACAACAGCAGAGCAAACGCCTGGAAATTCTGGGTTGGGTGCACAGGCATCATTTCCTTTTGGAGAAATGATGCAGTTTTATGAAACAGAACAGTCTGGTCCATGGGAAATCCATACGGCGTAATTTCGTCGCTCCATGGAACTTTCATTGCAGTGCTGATTACTGATGTTGGGGGTGAGGGTACGCGGTAACCGATTGATTTTCTAGGCAGGTCAGCATCGGAAAAAATATAAGGGGGTGGATAATGCCAATCGGCTGACGAATCGATTGAATTTTGCTTTTATTCACTTCAGTCAGATCATGAACCACGACGATTGTGTTTTGGTTCTAGTTGCCACAGTCTCCGTGACCAAAAACACAGGAGTGAAATACAGACACGGCCAGGCGTTGAAGACCGTCCTTCGATCAGTTAATTGATGTTGGTTCATTTTAGTGGTGTGCTACAGAGGGATGTGGAAGCCCAACTGACTGTATGACTGACCCATGCATCCCAGTGTCACGAATCAGCGGAATCCACGGATCGAGGTTGTAGCCGGTTACTGGTTAGTGCTTTCATACTTTTTACTGGATCACTGTCTGTCCCACTGTCGATTGCTTCTAGTCAGCATACAGAGGTTAATTGATGCATAATTAATTCAAATCAGGTACGTGGTATCGGAGTCATCATCATCATCATCAACGACAGCATGACATCAGTGCTCAACACCAATGCTTCACTGCCGTACAGCCATGACTTATTTGAAAGCCTTATTGTAAAGAAAAGAATAAAGGTGGATGGGGAGGGACTTAGTGATAGCCTAACACAATCATTCCGAGGTTCCTACACCTCCAGACATTCACTCAGGCATTCTGGACAGAAACTGACAACAAGAACGCCACTGACATCGGTCGGCAGCCATATATTGTAGTGTCTCCAACCAGACACAGTGAGGATCACGCGGTCCCCACCCTGGAAGGCGAGTAGCACCGACAGCACACAAGCGTTTCGTGATCTCCTTCATATTCCTCTGCCAGGTCAACGGTTGGCCACCTCTCTGTTTACGCCACTC